ACCACACCACGAAGTGGTGGTGAACCCATATTGCTTTTTCTGATGTTTCTTCTTCTTCTCCTCCTTCTCCTCCTTCTCCTCCTGCCATTTTTTAAATGGATTCAGCTTCTTCATTTTAGGGCCTAAGGTCCTGAAATTTGGTATGGAGGTACAGTGGGCAAATACCCCTAGGCGTTTTTTAAATTTTTGTGATACAGGCTTTTAGAATGGTTTTATTTGAGTTTTTTGGCTGTGTTATAGCAAATGTATTACTGTGTTAGTGTGCCGTGTTTACCAAGTCTGGGCATGAGTCATCACAATGGAATGCAGGGCATCAACCAATAGGCATGCAGCTTTCCTCTATACTTCTTGCTGATTGGCTGTTGGGATTTAACTTGATTAGCACCTGCACAGAGCATTTCCACCTGCACAGAGCATTTCTTGCTGATTGGCTGTTGGGATTTAACTTGATTAACACCTGCACAGAGCATTTCCATACTGACAGTATGTCTTTATTCAAGTGTTTTGGTAGGTATTTCAAGCTTTTCTGCTCCAGCATTGGAATGCGGGGCATGAACGTTTTTTTATTTATTTTGAAAATCAACAGTTTGCATTATGCAATTAAAAATCCTAACCAATAAAGTAGGGAATAGCTATCCAACTGTTGTTTTAGTTGTATGTTACTTCATATTATAGTTATATCAATGTAAATCATTGTTTTCCCTTGTGTTTCTCATTCTTTCCCTGCCATGTCGTAAAATGTGGTGAACCCATCGCTGTATTTGCTCCAAAGCAAATATTGGCCTTTCTAGTTGTATGTTGGTTTTCTAGTATTTTCAATTTACTGACGTCCATGGAATATTTCATGTACTCTGTGGTGCTCTTGTACCAGAGTGTCCACTTTGTGCAGATGATTTAGGCCACAACATGTAAATTTTATGGATGACATCCTCCGCAGATTCCAAATCTAATGCGAGCGAGCGAAAAACAAGGTTCCTACAATTTAAAATATTGACTCAATCATTGTACAAATGGTTTTCATTCAGTAGGAACATCACATATACACAGCCAGCATCACATATATCACTGCATCAAAGTAAGAAACAAAACATTACATCAGAGCCTTTTCTTGTCTCCTCTCTTCATAGTTATCTGCCATCCACCTTCTGGCATGGCAACAGACATCTTTGCCCATTTTCGGCGTGTTACGAATGTCGGAAGTCAACAAAATGTCTTGTTTTTTTCCCCAAATCAGGCGAAAATTAATGCGCGCGCTGATGTCATCCATAAAAATTACTTGCTGTGGCCAATGTATATAAGAAAGTTTGACTATTTATTCATTGTGTTCACCGTCCAATAAAGTACACAATTAATATGTCTCCTTTGTAGTTTTATAATTTTGTAATGCTCAACCCGTCCATCAAAACAAAAATATCGTCCACACGACGCTGATCAGATACGCGTCATTTTTGTGACCGTCCATTCATTCTTCTCCCTCCAAATGTTACCACAAAACGTTAATACTATAATAGAGAATTAAGAAAAGCTGTTTATATTATGTTTTTTGTATATACGTCTAGATCTGATTTGTATTACGGGAAAAATAAGCAAGAAACTGTTGTGTTGTATTTAGAAACTTGCTATAAAGCAGAATGAGGCGAGTCGCTTGGAATGAGTTTTAGCTAAAGCCATATGAAGTTTATTACTATTGTTATTATCTATAGATTAAAATCTATGGTTATTATGTGTCAGAAGGGTTTAATTGCTTATTGAGGTATTGTATTTTGTTCAAATCTATATTGTGTTGCAAACCCGTGTGCTATTAGTATACTTTATACTTAATGCTATACGTTTTGTTTTAATTGAACTTTCTGTGTGCAATGTAAAAAATAATGAAACTTACAAATCATTGACATTGTAAGTATATGTGAATAAAGTTCTATGATATATGCAACATACGAAGGCTTGAAAGTGTATGGCTTCTTATTCCATTAACGTTAATCATATAGAATTGAATGAAAGACCTTTATTGTACATTTTTGCTCATTGCGAACTAAGTACAGGTCATGGTAAATAGCGATGGTAGACTAAAATATATCCATAGTAAACCTACATATGTACAGGTTCTGCTTCTTCTCGCTTCTTAAGACAATTGTAAATGTAAGAACAGATTGAGTTTATAGTACGAGGGTTATCGAGTTCCATGACTGACATGAGGAATGTAATTTTTTTCTTATAAATTCTTTTCTATCTAAAATTCTAAAACTAGGGAAATAATCTTGTATACAATCGAAGAGAATCTTTCTCTCATTATCATGATATCATATAAGGTACAGTCCACAATAAAATGACTCTCGTCTTCAATCTCATTTAGGCTACAGTAATGACAAATTCTTTGTTGTAGAGGAATGTAGTTGTGTAGAGATCTGCCAAATCTCTAGGACGGACTATGCTACCCGTTTGTAGACAGTGGCAGCCAGATTGTCAAGTATTCATGTGCATAAGTTAATATTCTTTGCAGCACGACCGAATTTTTTCGACCTTTCAAATTCAAACTTCCATTGTTCAAACAAACTGACTCGTGAAGCTCTACTTGGAGATATTCGAAACTCAATCTCTCAGGATCTTATCGGTAAATTGACAAGATTTTTTTCTAACTCCACTAGGTTCGGTATCTGAATTGGTGAGAACGAGTGATCGCTGACGAAATATATGTAACGAAGTATGCATTAAAGGTAGTTCACACTAGTGTTCCCTGTGCTCCCGCCTGCCTTGGCCCCCGAGTGCGTCCACAGAAGCTTGAAGAGGGGGACCGAGCGCCAAAGGCAATGTAGGAGGGTCCGGGGGCATTCTTCCCCGGGAAATTTTGCATTTTTAAACTTTCAATTACGCATTTTCCTGCAATTTGAGAGGTAACAAAGTGAGGTTTGACTACTAGTACGCAGGTCTACGTGTAACGAAGAATTATTCAGTAACGCTTAACGCTGAATTTAGGATGACAAATAACATTTTACGTTGAATTAAAAGGACCAAAAACGCTTCACGAGGAATATACCGTTAACGCTTAACGTTGAATTTGAGCGGGCCGGCAACGATTAACGGTGAATTAAAATAGCCCATAACAAAAAGGGCATGCAGGCCCTCATCTCTCGAAACGGTAGAAATCTCTCAATTTAAATGCCATGAAAACTACGCATTCCATCTGCACGATCTATGCAGTGTAAGACAAACATATAGCTAAGAAGAGACAACAGTACGTAGTAGTTTTGAGAGCGATCGTGCCCAATAATGACTTCCCGCCATCTTGAATTCAAGGTCAGCCATATGTCAGAAACAATAATGACCATATTCATTACCATGATATGACATAGCTATATATGTATACCTAATAGTAATAGTTAGGAAGTTCTAAATGTCCACATGTACTACGAAATGCAAATACTTAAACACCTTAGGCCTCACCAATTTAATTTGTTGGTTCTCGGATTCGCCTCTTCATTTTTTTCTGATTTGCAAAAAAAAAAAGATTCTGGTTCTGAATCAACTCAAAGATGCTGAGCTCATATTTTGCTCTGAACAGTTGAAGAAAGTCCTTTTCTTCCTACTTGTTGCAGTTTTTACATCTATCAATGCAGTGGTTTGATTAAAAGTTCAAAATTCGTTCAATATTAGCCCAGCCTTTTGTGTTGACCCCATGGCTCCTATCGTAGTATTTGGGGCTATAATAGGATGCCTAGACCTGTTTTTATTTATTTTTGTCGCCCTGTCGCTTCATATTTTTTCTGAAAAAATCCGAGAACCAAGAAATTAAATTGGTGTGGCCTTACAAATTATCCGTACAGAATTTGCAATTTCTGCAACCAAAGGCTACAAGTGAGGTAAACGGTCAGTGGTTTCCCAGCATGAGGGATAGTGACGGATCAACCACGCCACACAGCGATTTTGTCAACATTACACTCCTCCTGCACGAAACAGCTCCGTGACAAGACAAGTAACCTGTTGACCCCGATGTTGTTCTCTCATGCATGACTCTATTCAACTCATGTAAACCTGGAAGCCTGCATGCAAGTTTGCCACAATTCTAGATAGAGTAGTAGAGTGAACCTAACGTACGTAATTTTATGACAGTGTTGTGTAATGTTTGAAATATAAAACTATATTTTACAAATGTTTATCTTAAAAGTTTAACAGGTTGATACTAAGTACATCAATCGTTGATACATCAATCACTGAATGTTGATCCCTTCTCAGAAACGACTTTTAGTCTTTGGTATCGGTTAATACTATCAACTTTTTATCCAATCACCGCTAAAGAGGTTTTGTTTTAATTCATGGCCCGTTGTCTACACAGGTGTCTGAAAGTGCCAAGCCAAGACAACACGTTCTGTGCCGGATGTCAACAAAGCAAGTTGTGTGCAGCAGAACACTCGTGTGTTGGACACACGCGCCAAGCTAGTGGGGATAATTGTCTGCAATGGTTTGTGTTTTAGGCCGCAGGATACGATGAAATTATCCCTGAAGTCACCTGAATATTGAGGTGTGAATAGGGGTGTCTGTAATTCATTTTTACAATTTACCAACAGCTACTGATATTATGGAGGGAATTTCATGGATTTGTAGAATTAAAACTATCAAGTTTTCAACCTAATTCTTATTAGAACACAATTTTAAGGCATCGAAAGTGCGTTTTGTAAACATTTATAAGTAAAACACCCCCATTCTAGACATGACTGGTACTGCCCAAACCGGTCTGGTAGCCCACATACCGTTATACAGGTTGCATGCAAATATGGCTTCCTCCTATTGTTATACAGATAGCTCCGGTTCGAGGGATGTACCACTCATGGGGGACAAATTACATTAAAAGTGTAACAGAAAGCTCGTACTTTTCATTAATATTTCTATATTTGCCCTTTCCTTATATACGGAGTAAAATCGATTATTTTGTTACTGTATGTATTTCAATATCGAGCCTTTGACGAACTTAGAGAAGATTTTAGAATATTTTATTTGGTTAGTACCCCCTTTGGTCGCTAGAATCGTCTGTCCGAGAAGCATCGTGCGAGCGTTGTTACGGTTTACCCACAGCAGCCAGCGGCAAAGTGCACCAGCGGTCTGACGGTCCGTCCATTCTATCCGCCAAGTTACAGGTAAGAACACTTTTGGGTCCAAAATGTCACTAAAACGCACCGTTTTGAAGGCAGATGTGTCCATCTAATCCTGCCACAGGTGTGGCGGGGTGTCTCAGGTACCGTTGTCTGGCGTGACAAGCGTGGAATGTACGGTTTTCTACAAAAGTGTGAGAAATTCATCCGTCCGGACATGGTGGGTGGATAGCGGGAACCTCGCAGTGCCCTCCCCTACGAAATCTAACGATTGTCAACCAAGCGTATCTCTACCCCCAAGTTTAACCTGTCCTTAGAGGAACTGGTTCAAAACTTTGCCATGAAAGTTTTCGTGTAACTCTTGTCGCGCTGGCTTAAAGATTTGGCTGTTTTCTCAACAGGAAGTGAAGTAGCGGGAAATGCCGAAGTCGTTCCTCGTGAAATGTCGGAGCTCCGGTCGCGAGGGCCCGCCGCCGGTGTACCCGGACACCAGCTACTTTTCAGGTGAGTAACTTTAGATGCTACTTGGCAACTTGGACACGTTCTAGGCATTAAAAAGTCCGTACTTTTTTCATAAATCTCTGACAGCGGATTTGACGGGCTTATCAGCTTGTAGCTAGGTATATCCAGAGGATTATGCTGGTACATAGGAACAGATTTGTTCCGCTAACTGTTATGCAAGCAACTCGCAGCGTTCGACAGACCTTTACATGATTGAAGAGGTTAGAGATTTGACATATACCAATAAACAGTCAATCCTGCAGTAGAAATCAAACACTATGAATTTGACTTGGAATTTGCTAATCATTTCCATTTATTTTAAGAATCTCAACAAGGTAATACTAATGTTTCCTTCTGGTTAGGGCGCAAGACAACTTTTGTAGCGTGCGCTAGTAGCAAGCACGTGGCCGTTGCAATGGCTAACGTTACTTGCCCCGAGTTTAAACGGTTAGAAAATGGTGGATAGTTCGGAAAGCTCCGTGCGCCCACGCACTCTTACCCAAAATGGCTACTGTGAGACCAGTCTTACCGGTACCGCTACAAACTCCGCACAGGAATTCTCCCCGTGTTGGCAACAAACACTCGCGGATTAGACAAAACAGGCGCATCGCCGGTTCAGACAAGGTGAACGGGACCGAAACATCACAGAAGAGCGGCTACCTGTCTCTTAATACCAGAGACACGACGGAAACAGATTTTTTAAAAGATTCCAACATTTCATGACTAGACATGATGAGCACACTCAAGTTATATCAACTTATTTTATGCCGCCACCAACGCAGAGGAGGAATACAGGACAAGACAATACACGGGAAAGTCGTGTAAAGTGCCTTTCTTATGGTCACAAGATCGGTGGCATGTCAGGACTTGAACCCGGGACCTCAAGCTTTTGTAGCATCCAAACCACCGGGTATCGAAGTAACAGCGTTCTAAAAGCAGCGACCACTTACCAAGACTCCTACCTTGCTAATAAAATCCCCAGATTGTTTGCGTCATGAAGAAAATGCTTCTTTCGCCTATTAAACCCTCGAATTAATTTTTTTGTGACATCTTTACTCTTGTACTACAAAAAAGCCGGAGGTTACTGAAAGTAAAGTTTGTTTGTGATGTTGTTTGGCAAAAGTCTTGGTGTGTCTCCAACCATGTCACTGTGTCGCCCATGCCCTGAGGGGGAAATGCCATTCAAATGGGCGCACCTTACACAGACACTAACCTCGCCTCTCTTCACTGACCCCGTTGGTTTTCATCCCTACAAAAACACTTCCTCCAAGCCTCCGTTACAGCTAGGCTTCTAAAGTCGCATTGCCGTACAAAATCTGTCTGTTGTTCCTGAGGTTTACAGTAGACAAGAAGCGGAGATTTTGGCGGGATTTGAGCGGGGCAGGTGGGCGGGGACACCCGGCAACAAACGGTGCCCCTGGACCCCCGAAAGCGGTCTGGCAGGAACCTACCATTCACAACATCTTAACAGGGGTGCCAATAATCAGTGGTAAAACGTAACTAATAGCTTATAACTGCCCTTTTTACCGCCAAAACTAAAATGCGAATGCTTTTATAGTATGTTTCATATAATACAAAATATTTCGAGAGACAAAAAATCGTCATTGCAGTTTTTGAAGCTAAGGAGATGAACCTTCTTGGAAAGGTTGGTCGCGTTTTAACACAAAAGAAAGGAGACGGTCCGGGTAATTTGTTCTGTAGAACAGAGCGTCAATACCTGCAGGGTATGTGTATGTGTATGGTCCTACAATCCGTACTTCAGCCAGGGTTTGACCCAACTCACCTGTAAAAGGTAAATGGATAGACTAGGTAGAATCGAGGAGATGAAATTGGGAAGAAAAGACACGCCGGGTATTAGGACGAAATACTTGGATAAGACTGGAAAATGACAATTCACAATATTTATCTTGAAGTTTCGTGTGAACCCTTAGGATCCAGTTGCAATGAACTTGGAATTGATTTCTTTTAGATTATGTGGAAAATAACGTACCTAGAACGTTCCAAGACATCCAATGCGATTTCAGAGCAGCAAAACTGGAAATATTCTGAATAAGGTAATCTTTATGATATTGACACATACTTCTTGACATTAGCACATTTAAATCAGTATTTCATACTTTGGGGCTTGGGCATTTAAAACAAGCCCCTAGATGAGTCCTATATTTTCTGGGTAGTACCCAGAAAATCAGCTCAGGGCCCTTCCAGTGACCATTTTCCGTCAGAATTTTGCTCCATGAGGGTCACTATACACTGGGGTAGAATGGTTTCAACTCAGTATGTAGATAAATGACTAAAATATTGGCTTTGAAAAATCGGGTTTCCAAGCACTAAAAGCTACTCTGGGTGCCTTTGTATGTTTTGTTTTGTAGTGTCAGAAAATGATGTCAAAAGGTCAGAAACAGTCGAACTTTATGGACGGTCCCTCTGTAGTCCCCGCTTGTGTCTTTAGTCTGAAGTTCCCGCCCAAGGATCGCCCAAGGCTCCTCAACGGTCCGGCTGGAACAGTCCATTGTACCACCGCAGGGATGTGTGGGTCCGATGGAAAACATGGACATTTCTATAACAGACAGAAAACCCTAACACAAACTTCCAAGAGTTTCACACTCTCGTGTTTAATTCGAATGCATTTGAAAAATACAAGAAAGCAGCAACAAGGACAACACGATAGTAACGTAGCTCTAGGGTTGTCAGTAATTACCCATATCGTCTTCTCGGCTGGAATCCAAATTGCTTGTAAGACTGGTTCTGCAAAGGTTTATGTCTATTCACTGGGACACCGCGCGAGACAACGGTCTTCTGCACAGGAACGCCCATCTTTTGTTTTCCACACAGAAAACAGTTACAGTTTCCTGTCTTGTTGACGGGTTAACAGCTCAGCCACCAGCCGCTACAAAATTCGGGATTTGGTGGGAAACTACAGTTTCCATAGCAACGGGGATTTGTGCAAATCTTTCGTTTGGTCAGAATATAAACGTTTTGGTAATTGGATATGTCTGGTATTTGACTTAACGAAAAATACGCATCTTTTCTTTACTCTGTGACTTTTGAAGCGGAAAATATCACGAGTTCACCATTGCACTTCTTGAGCTTCACGCAATGTGGCGCATTGTATTTCATCGAATCAATTTTTGGATCTCAACGTTTGGATCTCTATCTTAAAGCGTTGTTTGAAACATAATATTGACTTTTATCTCCCTCCTTCCACAGTTCAGTTATCCCCGCCCCCTGGAGCTGTCGCTTCGTTCGACTTCCAACCAACATCAGCGCACGCGCAGCAAACCGTCCCACCAGAGAGCTCCAGCTGTGCGTCCGAGAGCGCCGCCCTACCGGCAGAGGTAGGAACTGCAGAAGTCTTAATTTCATCTGACTAACGCTTATCTCATAAGAAATTCACGGTGTGATATTTATGTTTACCGAAGGAAAACATATTGTTTTCACTCAGTTTCTTCCTCTTCTTCTTCTCCAAACAGTGACCTCTGACCTGACCAATGACATGATTTGTTGACGTCTGTCACCATGGTGACTGGTGTTGAGTTACATAATGTTGCAATTTCATGGTCTGCTCTGCTCTTGTCACCATATACTAGTACATGTATGCGAAGGTGCTTGAGTAAGAATTAACAGAGCAGACCATGTTTGAAAAGTTGCTTTGCAAATGTTACTTCTCTAGTCAATTTACCATTTTTTATGTCACAGTAGACTCAAAGAGTTTGTGTTTTTTGCAGGGATCGAAGAAAATCTCCCCAGCCAAGACGGAGAATAGGAAGACCAGCAAACCCGTTGCCAAGGTTACCGGAACCCAGTCCACCGTCAAACAGGAACGCCCCAGCCCCGCCAAACCGCTCAACGAAGCCCGGCCTTTCGTCTGCTCTCTCTGCGGCAAGGACTTCGCTGTGCAGCGCATGCTCAACAGACACATGAAGTGCCACAGCGCCACCAAGCGGTACAAGTGTGAACACTGTCCCAAGGGATTCAACGACACGTTCGACCTGAAACGTCACGTGCGCACACACACGGGTAAGAATTCAACACGGACCACTTCTGTTCTTTCTACTAGTATGTTAACCGAAGGAAACATATTGTTTTTGCTCCGTTTCTTCCTCTTCTTCTTCTCCAAACAGTGACCTATTACATGACCAATGACATGATTTGTTGACGTCTGTCACCATAGTGACTGGTGTTGGGTTACATAATGTTGCAATTTCATGGTCTGCTCTGCTCCTGTCACCATATACTAATAGTACAATATCTTTGAATGTGTTTGAGTAAGAATTAACAGAGTAGACCATGTCCGAAGGTAAACATTATGCATTTGCTTTGCAAATGTTACTTCTCTAGTTTGGTCTTTTTTTTTGTGACGAGTGTAAGTGTGTCAAAGCTAACTAGGCGGCGTTTTGAGCTTACTGGTCTTGTCCCACCAACAGGAATTCGGCCATACAAGTGCGAGGAGTGCGGGAAGGGCTTCACTCAGAGGTGTTCTCTGGAGTCTCACTACAAGAAGGTGCACGGGTTCACCCTCAGCTACGGCTACAAGGAACGGAGGGAGAAGGTACGTGTGCTTCGGCACTTGCTAGGCTATCTGTACTCTCTCTCTCTCTCTCTCTCTCTCTCTCTCTATCTCTCTCTCTCTCTCTAACCCTATCTATCTCTATCTCTCTCTCTCTCTATCCCTATCTATCTATCTGTCTCTATATCTATCTCTCTATATCTATCTCTGTCTCTATCTCTCATCTCTCTCTATCTATCCATCTATCCATCCATCTATCCATCTATCCACCCATTCATTCATTCATTCATCCATTCATTCATCTGTTCTTCTCTTTCTCTTCAGTCATTCAGCTTTTCCTTTCCTCTCTTTCCCTTTCCACCTTTCAATCTGTAAACCATTATTTTTCTCAACCTCTGCAAAATCCCACAACAAATGATAACAAGACAACGTTTTCCCCAGATCTATGTGTGTGAGGAGTGCGGTCACGCGACCATGAGCCCGGAAGAGCACTTGGAGCATCTGAAACAGGTGCACCCGGACAACCCCGCCCTCAACAAGAGCTTCGAACGGAAACACCTGCTGAAGAAACAAACGGAAGAAACGAAGGGGGAAGCTACGTCAACTCCAGACCACATGGAGACAGACAGTGATGACAGCACGGGGGATAAAAATGAAGAGGATAAAAGAAAGGACAATGGAAAACAGAAACTTCCAGCGGCGAAGAGAATACGGGCAGAGACAGCCGCGTGAGGACTTACTAGACCAGTGACATTACTTCAAAATTTACATGGAACATTCAACAACTCATGTACACTACCATCAGTATGCAGTATTGAGCTTCTTTTATGTATAGAATGGCGTACGTAGACACCACTATACATTTTCTGGCCATGCAGGGAAACTAGTGTATTTAGACCTAACTTTGTCAACAAAGCACAATGGAAGATACTAACCAAACTATCAAAACCAAGTTATATCTACAATCAAACGGGCGAGGGAGGTGAAAGAACATCCCTTAAAATTTGCCATAATAGTTAATTTGTTTTATTATTTGCGGAATCAATCTGGGGCTTTGTTTTCACTATCAACAGCGCAATGCATGCTGGGGACTTTGCCAGGTCAAAGGGCATTTGGGCAGTGCATTGTGGGAATGATTGGCTGCTTCCACGAAAGTACTAGGGGTTCTTGGCTGTGTAGGGATTGAGGAGATTATATTTTTCTTACGTCAGCTGTAGTTAGGTATGTGAGGATTCTAAGATATATATTCTTGAGAGGGGATGTTAACCAGAGAACTTCTTGCACGACAGTTGAAACAACCTTTAAGGATTCTAAACTTCTTACAGGTACATTGTATGTGATGATAGAAAGGTAAATGTGTCTGACATACCCGTATTTCTGAAAGCATTATGAAAAGATGAAGTGACGCAAATTTGAAAGGCGAGACGTTACATGTATGTGTACATCTAGCTGTAAGATTGCACCCACCAGTTTCCCATCCCCAGAATGCAACGCGAAAACGCGGGGGTAACCCTCATTTGCATAGGACTGGAAGGCATCGGAATGATCCTGTTGACGTTAAACAGCTTGCTTTTCACTGCGTTTTGAGGTATTGGGGCATTTAATGCTCAACATTGATTAAATTGATATGGGCCGAATCTGACAACAAATAGAGAATGTAGTTTTAGTGTTCTTTTCAACATGGAACATGTGGTTTGTAATGAAAATGTTACAGTATCACTATAGCATTACCACTATAACGTTACAAACCACAGATTCCAAAAAGTTCATTCTCTATTTGTTTTCAGATTCAACCCATAGTAATTTAATTAATGTTGAGCATAAAATGCCCCAACACCTCAAAACACACTGAAAAACAAGCTGTTTAACGTCACCAGGATCATTCCGATGCCTTCCAGCCCTATGCAAATGAGGGTTACCCCTGCGTTTTCGCGTTGCATTCTGGGGATGGGAAACTGGTGGATTTCAAGGCTTCAACATAACCCGAACTATGCAGAACGTATATATATATATAGATGTGTCAAATTGGGGCGGTAGATTTTCATGGTTTGCTATAGAATGTGCAATATCCTCCGGGTACGGAATTCTAGCTACCGCTGCTATGCACTTCTCGTTGTACATAATGGGTGGGTACGGCCATGTTTTGCATAAATTAGCATATATTTATCTATATTTGGACGTGATGAACCGTGGTGCAATATTTCGTGACGTTGGTTAGGGAGGATTGATATGGCTTTCGCTGTGGGATAACTTCGGTGCCAATAAAGAGAGCTTATAATTAGATTTACATTTGTGTAGCCTGTGTTCGTACTTACATCAACAATACCACATACATACACATCAAATAATAATAACAGATTACTTATCTTGAAAGTTCATCTGTGTTGGTAGAAGTCATTATGAAGCAAATTTAAACTGTAATTTCCAACACACAAAATGGACTCACCCAAATTTTCGACTGTACAACTCCAGTCTTTGTCAAGGAATGAACATTCCACCGCTTCCGTGACGTCACGCAGATACGTTTATTCGTTTATTTCGATACCCTTTAGTCCATGAAAGACCTAGCTCGACTACTTCGGAGGTCTCACAATATATACACATAGAATCGCCTGGACATTCAGTCTCACTGGACAAAGTAAGAATCTTGGACTCAGAACCAGACTTCTTTGCACAAGGGATTAAAGAGGCCATCCACATCAGGGCATTACAACCATCCCTCAACAGAGACGGGGGGCGCCACAGACTTGATCTGATCACACAAGACCATGGCCAACAGCTTATATATTAAGGATCTTACTTTCATAATCAATGTAAAACATGACTAAAAAGTCGTAAAACATTTGGCGAAGCTATAAGGTCGTGACTTTTCCTGTGGTTGACGCTATTTCTTTGTCTTCTTTCTTTCTGTTACAAGTCGCAGTCGTTGAGACATGTTTGTTGTACTTAGAATTTGCCAAGTGTTATGACTATTACTTTTCCTTTGTTCAAAGCTTAGGCCAGAGCAAGTAATATTTATGGATGACATCAGCGCGCGCATTAATTTTCGCTGATTTTGGAAAAAAATACGAAATTTTGTTGCCTTCTGACAGTGGTCAACATGCCGAAATGGGCAATGATGTCTGTTGCCATGCCGGAAGGTGGATGGCAGATAAATATGAAGAAGGAGACAAGACAAGACTCAGAAGATTTAATGTTTTGTTTCTTACTTTGATGCAGTGACATGTGATGCTGGCTGTGTATATATGATGTTCCCACTGAATCAAAACCATTTGTACAATGATTGAGTCAAAGTTTTCAATTGTAAAAACCTTGTTTTTCGGCCTGCCTTGTTTTTTTTCGCCCACTCGCATTAGATTTGGTATCTGCGGAGGATGTCATCCATAAAATTTACTTGCTGTGGCCTTTTATTAGGACCTATACCGGCTGAGACCACTGGACATCGTAAAATACCAGTCAGCGGCAAGGGTCAAGGGTCACGAATCGAACATGGCGTCATTGAGGTCAGAATAATTACCTTCGGCAAGAAGGTTATGTTTTCAGTAGCGTTTGTTTGTCTGTTTGTCTGTTTGTGAACGGCATAACTCAAGAAGCTTAGTATGCATTGTCATGAAACTTGGTAGGTGGGTAGGTGGGTTGATGAGACCTAGAAATGATTAGATTTTGGGCCCTCTGGCGGCTTTTATTGGTACTGCAGCAGAACTTCCGGTTTTGATATCTCGCGATCTGGACATGTCACGAATTTTGGTTGGTAGATAGCTCTTGAGGTAGGGAAGAAGTGACATGAGTTTGGGCCCCCTAGCCGCTTGTTCTGAAACTGCAGGAGCATTTGTTGAAAAATTTTCGAAGGATGATAACTCAAGAACCGGTTGACGGATTGTCGTGATTTTTGGTATGTAGGTAGCTGAAGGGATGCTTGACATAAGGTTCCGGGTCGGAGTTTAATTCTGACCAGAGTCTAAGTAAGTGCGCAGTAAATCGCCGGAAACGTGACTTTGTATGGTATGTTTTGGCCGCGATATCCCTGAAATCGTAATATCTGTGTACATATATTTGTATTTTCTGAAAAGCCTGTTAGTTGTAGCCTTTATAGGTGGCGTAATGTTGGTGGTCCAGCTAAGACTTCCTGGTATTCGTCCGCGCGGATGGTTATGTGGCCTTTTCGCCTGACCGCCGGGATGGTACGTTCTATATGCGTTCTGGGTGTGTTCGGGCCATCGAAGATAGCGATAAACTTATCGCATCGATTTTAATTAAATTCAAATTTTGGAAACATTAGGTTCTGAGCTTCTTCGAGTACTAAGCCGTTACCCTGGGAAAATTCGTTTTTTCCATGCAGCCATGGTTAAAAATGACGAAAAAAATGACCCCTTTTTCAAAATGTACTTTGATGTGCCTCATTTACCCCTAAATAAATTGGGCGCAGAAAATATCAATCAAGTGTATTGATAAGCGGCACGGCACCCCTTTCCACCAAAAGAGTGAAAAATTCCGACCCGCGTTTAGTACAGAAATGACAGCCCGTCGGGCTGAGGGTGTCAAATTGCTCGAAATACGGAGGGAAACTCCGGTCCGAGACCTTAATCAAATGAAAGAAAAATGAAAATTATGCAAATCAGGAGCTAATTTGCATAATTAATGAGGAAATTCTATAAATCTGCTTTGTTCGATAGTAGGACTATGAAACACTTGTGACATGTAATTGAGAATAAAAAACATCTGAGGATATAGATTATGTAAATGAAGACCTAATTTGCATAATTAATGGGAAATTTTTATAATTTCATAGTTGTAACTGCTGGGAATTTCAAGTGAACGCGAACATCAATAAACATAATCTATTCAAATCATGACCTCATTTGCATAATTTATGAGGAAGTGCTATAGTAGCTTTTTGTTAAGATAAGACTGTCATTGGGTGGAGAATATGATCAACTGATATAACCCATGAAAATGAGGCTCTTTTTTGCAAAATCAATGATTAAAATTGTACAATTCTTCAATCACAAGGGTTAACATCAATTGGTGAAGGTATGATATCGTGGAACTCTTTTTTTTTAAACAAACTAGGGCAGTCAGATCTAGAGATGGCAAACTTGGATTACCGTTTCCACATTTCTCTTTTA